TTTTGTTTGATGGACATCGAAACATGCTTTCGCTTTGTAGATCCTTTGGTAGCTCCAGAATCGGAAATTCTTTTTGACATAATCGAAAGTTCAAGCTTACTTTTATAAAATTGCTCTAACAGTCTGCAAAAAATAAGCCGGATCCAATTAGAAGATTAAGGAACAATGTAATCTGCAACATTAACTGAAATAGATAATTAGAGAATTTTAGTTTAGCTTATACCATCCGTTATACATAAAACGCGCATACGTACACATATTATGCGCATCTGTGAAGGTGTTGATGCATGCGCAGAAGGTTTGTAGCTTTGAGGTCATTCTGGATTATTATAGATCATTCTGGATTATGGACGTCCAGATTAAAGACTTTTGACTGTAATTATTAAAAAGTAAGCTGTTTAGCAGGATCAGTCCCAGAAGCTGTCGAACTAAAACGAAAGTGAGGATAAATTAAAATGTGGGTCAACATTTCGGGTGCCAGTATTTTTAAATGACAGCAGAGGGAATATGAGACATTATGCAATATCTATAAAGACGAGCAAAGAAATACAAATAAATATTCTTTTAATGGATGATTTGATTTATCATACCGAAAGAATTTCCGGAGAACAAGTTAGTCAGTTGGTATTGCCTAAAGTTAGAACGGAACAAATTTTAAAGGATAAATAACTGGTGTGTGTTTTTATTTTGATATTCAGTATGAAGTAATAAGTATATTAGATTTTAATTTGTTTAATGATATATGTATATTTACTATTCTGGAAAACATATATATATATATGTGTGTGTGTGCATATTTCTGCATGCATTTGTGAATGTCAAAATTTGAAGAAATGAGAGTAATGTGTATTGTATATTATGAAGTTACATCTAAGATAATGGCCTCAGATTTTGTATGAGTGAAAATCTATGTGTAAATTAAATAATGAAGAAATGGAATGCATTTTTATTGCTATGTTTCCAGATTAATTAAAAAGTATCATGTTTTCATCTTAAAATTATATGTAAATAGTGAGAAAACTTATCGGAGAAGTACAACTTTCTATTGAATGTCAATCCTTTGACTAAATCTGAAACATAAATTTTTGAAGCTTTCGAATTTCTGGGTAATTTTTTGATATGAGAGAGCAAAAAATACTTTTTTGTATTGCTTGGAAATAAGTGAAAATATTTAGTTATAATTTAATTTTTAATGCAATTCACACTGCGGTTAAAATTTTGGTATAATTTTTCATTTTAACCGGTGTAGAACTATTTGATTTTGCAGTATTTAATGCTATTAAACTGCACATAATGTTATGTAACAAAAGTATAGTATCGTAAAATATGTTACTATCATGATTTCTGGAAGAAAGGCCGCAGCAGCGTAAATGCCGCACTCGAGAAAAATGGCGGAAAAAAATTAAAATTACACAGAAACGCCACATCAGCGTAAACGTCGCAATAGATTAAACTGTGCATGACATTGTCGTGGGCCATATAGATGCAAAATCTAAACCTATGTCCTGATATATGACATATCAGTTAAGAAAAATGCATGGTATGAAACCATAACTCAAAAACAAATTAAAGGTTAGAAATGTTGAAAATATATTTACGTTCATGAATATACTTATATTTAACCACTAAAGAAGTCCATATTTGTAATACAGTAAAAAGTCTTTAATCCAGATGTCTATAATCCGGACCTCAAAGCTACAAAGTTTCCGCGCATACGCATAATACGTTTACGCATGCACGTTTAATGTATAACAAATGGTATAAGCTAAGCTAAAATTCTCTAATTATCTATTTCAGTTAATGTTGCAGATTGCATTGTTCCTTAATCTTCTAATTGGATCCGACTTATTATTTTTTTGCAGACTGTTAGAGCAATTTTATAAAAGTAAGCTTGAACTTTCAATTATGTCAAAAAGAGTTTCCGATTCTGGAGCTACCAAAGGATCTACAAAGGGAAAGCATGTTTCGATGTCCATCAAACAAAAAGTGGAATTACTGCAAAAAATGGATAAAGGTATATCCTTTGATTCTCTGATCATTCCGAAATATGTTTATCAATGTCACGCTGCTCTAGGGGGGAGATGACGTCGGCGCGCAATGAACTGGAAGTTGATCTGTCAGCACTATCCTTATCTTCAGGCAGATGTTTTTATTTTATTCGGCTTATAGTTCCTTACTAAATGTAGTATTTCATCTCGATGTACTCCGTCTTTGATATGATTTAAATCAAATTCCTCATCATTATAAATATCACGAATACACATCAAATAGTTTTCTGGTTGCAATTTTCTAATTTCAACTATGCGAAATGTATGCTTTAAGCATGCGCACATTGAAAGAAATGTTTAATAAAGTAAGGAAATAACTATATTTTTTTTTTTTTTTTTTTGTAAATTTTGATACCCTTTAGATCATAATTGCTCTTTATTTCATAAATTATGGTTTCATATTTTAAATTTTATAATTTCTGCATGCCATCTTACCAGATTTAAACTGATGATCTATAATCCGGACTCCGATTCCACGAGTCCAGATTAAAGACTTTTGACTGTACTCTGACTATATCAAAAATGTTGCAACACAACAAATATTAAATTTGGATGACAAAAGAATTTTAAATTTTACTTACAAAAGGAATTACAGCAATACATCATATGAAGCCATCAAATCTGAATTCTTCACTATCTGAATTAAAAAATTTAGTAAATCCTACTAAGTCCAAGTCTTCCAGATTGTCACATTCATTCTCTGGTTTACATCGCTTTTCTAAGGATATAATTTCTACTTCTTTGAAACTCTCTATTATTGACTATGTTTTTACCTATTTCCGCACACTTCCTACCCACTTTGCAACTTCTTCATAAGATGTTCTACGCATTTTACCGCTTCTGGTATACGTATGCAATCCTTCACTCATCCAACACTCCCACCGCTTTTGGACTTCAGCTTTGAAGAATTTATTATGTGACAAATCTAATGGTTGTAAGATTTTTGTCACAATTTTTGACATCTGGTTTTCACTGACTCAAGTAAATGAGCACGCATGGAATCCATTATCAATAACCCTTTTGAAAAAAGATCCCTTAGGACACTTCCAAACTTTTTGTAGTCACTCATGATTGATTGTTTTGCACATCCAGCTGTTCTTGTTTGCACAAATAATTACGTCATTAGGAAAATCTCCCTTTGGAATAGTATTTCATTTAGAAATGATCATCGTCTTTAGCTTGTCACCGCTTGTGGCACAAATGAACACACATGTAAATGACGTTCCTTCATGCCCCGTTGTAAGCACAGATACAGCCTTTGCACCAGTTTCATCAACAGTTACGTTTGCTGGACAGTCGAAAGCTAACGGCATTTCATCCATATTTATTATCTGTGACCGAAGAATTTTTTTTTTTTGTCAATAATATCTGTCACATATTTTAGAAAAGATGCCTTTTTATATCCTGCCAGCCATTTGGTATTGTTGTCCGACTGTTTCTAATACTACAGAAATATTTTTTCTCTTATAAATCTGGTACACCAGCAGGCCCGTTTTTGAAACATTTATGTTCATTTGTTTTGCTATAAATTTGCTTGTAGGAATTTTTATGTCGACATTGCATTCCCTTTCCTTGTTGCTCTTTATCAGTTTGTATGGTTGTCCTCTAGATTTGGCCACCTTACAGTACCACTTCTTTTGGCTCGTTTCTGTTGTGGCCTATTTTTAAGTTCTTCTTTCCAGTTCTCCACTTCAAATACACCTCGTCACAAACTCTCGAGCTGCTGCTCTATTTCCAATTTGTCACACATGAAATTACATTAGCTTAAACCACAGTATAGCTTCAGTGCCGTTTAGGTGCCATTTTCAACTTTTCACTCACTTCTTACTTAAAAACTATCCAACAAGTACTTGTACCCAATGATGGCTCTGTATCTGGCAAATGCCAAAAAATTTATTCATGCTGAAGGGGAAATACATCGAGGTCGTTATTGCAGAGGGAGTCGTGTCGCCTAGGAAAATTGCCGAAAAGCAGTGGCGGGAGAGGATGGGTCCTGAAGATTCACTAATGGCAGAGGAGAGAGACTACCAAAATGATGAGAATGCTGATTTGAAGGGGGAAAATGTTATTGTTCTGAGATCCCATTTAGGGTGAATAAGGCTGTAGGTCCGTCAAGAGAAAGAATGTAAACAAAATAACGTTCGCAAAAAAAACCGCTGGTCTTTTGTGTGGGAACAGCACCAGTCTATGTACAATGACAAGACCATCCAAACTATGTACACAAGTAAACTATTCCATGACCATCATAGGAGATATTTTATTTTTAGTGCACCTAAACGCCGCATGGGAAGAAACGCAGCACCCGCTGAAAATTTAAATTTTAATCATTATATCTTATCTCGTTCATTTGAGCTTTTGCAGCTGAGGATGATGGCTCGGTATAACCATCGAAACTAGTCCTGTGAAAATTTGAAAATATAACACTGATTTTTGTTGTTTGACTTCTGAATAACTCTTTTGTTTGACGTCACCATAATTTATCATATTTCAATAGGCTTTCACCCTATTTCAATCTTGGATGGGAAGTATGATGTATGGGTGATGTCAACCAATAAGATGGATAGAGAGTGCTAACTCTCAGTTTGAGAGGCATTAAAAGTTTAGTTTCTAAGAGGGAGACCGATGGAGAGGTCATAGGGAAGGCTCGTGGGAGCCATTAATGAAAACAAAATTAACTTGTATTACTTAATACATATATATGTAATTCAGTTATTAGTATTGTAGTTTTAGTATTAGTTTTGTGTTTGTGCAATAAATGTTCAAAATACAGGAAGGTGCTCTATGAGGCAGAGGATGAAGAAGGTGGTGATATTACAGATATCATCTTGCATTCTAGATGAACAGTGCATATGAATCTTTTAAAAGCTCTTTCATTATGCTGCAGGTTTAACAGACCAGAATAGAAAAATATTCTAAATAACATTGACAATTTCCTGAGATTTAAGTACTTACTTCATCACAGATGCTTCTTGCAAAAATTCTATTCGTTCTCTTAATGTGGCACTTTCATTTACAGTCTGAAATAACAAATAATATTTAGTTATTATCAATGCAAACACAACTAATATATTTAAAAAAAAGTTACAGTTTTAAATTTACATGTAGAATAAAATAATATTCCAAATTCATGTTTCTCAAGCAGTGTCTTGTGGACCAATGCAGTCCTCAGATACTGAGAAAATATAAAATAATAACACAAAGACTGTAAAAAACAGCAAACTTAATCTGACTTCTTTCTTAACTGACACATTATCCAGACTTTATTTTTTCTTCATATGGACTTCATATGCTTCTTCTATACAAAGGTATAGTTCAATGTCATCTTCATTACAAGCAGTGCTTTTGTACCACTGCTAAACCCAATACTCACATCTTCTTTAAGAAAAATTTCAAGTGTGCACTGTTTTATCTATTTCCTTATGCCAGTGTCATGTCATTTTCCTTATGTCAGTTTTTTGATAAGTCTTAGATTGTTTTCCGTTGGACTGAAGAAGTCCAATATCAGCTTTGTTGTAATGGATGAGAAAAACCATCGCCCAGCCTAATTTGCTGATCTCATAAGTTATAGTCATAAATGTATGCATTATAATATAGACTGTAAACTATCTTTATATTCTCATTTAGTTCCTTTTTACTAATGGCTTCTTGAAACGTTTGGGCTAAAAAACTTCTCTGCTAATTGTTGGCTGTTGAAATTTGAGACCTTGCAGAAGAAGGGTAATATTATTGTCTGGACTATTCCTTTACTTCTGAATAATAAAGGATGTGCCCACATTTCTTCCTCCGAGACAAAATTTTTTGGGGAAAAAGACACTTTTATCTGGCTTCAAAAGCTTCCAATATATCAGAGAAAATGGCCATTCGTTTTCCTTCATATCAGTTGTAATCAAAGAAAATATCCACTTTGCACTCATATAACGATAACTTAAATTTTCCACCATCCTTTGTATAACACTGCAATCACAAACTGTATCTGCAAAAAGTTCATGAATTATACCCCTGAATCAATTAGGTCATGCATTAACTGGTAGCAGTTGATGGCCTTTCAGTTGACTTGACTGACGCCATTTTGAAATCTTTCCACGTCTTCCCGAGACTCCCGACCCCCTTTGAAAATTAGGGATGAGTTACAGCTAACGGACAGTCTAATTGCATTGGCTAATGCCCAGAGATATTGTTCCCCCCTACTTACGTCACACGACGAGTGGGATGGCGATAAAGGACACTGAGGGGAATTGCAACCCCTTTTCAACTTGTTTCACGATGGAGAACTCTACATAACCACAGGTCTGTTTTTTCATTTTCTTTTACAAAAATATTTTCTTGGTCTTAGCAAGACCCACTGTGTTTGTTTTCGTTTAAATTTAATTTATGTTTTCTAAAATTTATAAAGGTGTAAATATTTAGCTAGCAGGTCCAGCCCGTAAGTTTATTGTATTATTTGACAATAGCAGACACGCTATTTATTTTATTTTTTCTTAATTCTGTAAATCGGAATTGTTTTTACATCTTTTAACACCTAATGTGTCATTTTGTGCGGACGCGTCGGGAGATTGGAACAGAGAATTGAGACTAATAAATTTTCTAAGACAATTCGTTTATTTAATTAAAATTTGTAACGCAAAAGTTTCAATTGTCTGTTTCGGCGAAACGCGTAATGGAGTTAGCTTAATTCGACGTTCAGCTAGAAATTTCCCTTGAAAAGCCAGGTTGAACTTCGGGTTAAGCTAATTTACCATTTTCCGCTTTGTATTTTTATATGTTTATGTTTGTTTTATGTTTTACTTGTACCATCAATTGGTTTTTCTATGTTTTAACTTTACACTTGTCACATCGATTGGTTTTACGGTATTTTTTTTGCCGTTCTACTAGTTTCCAAATGTATTTTTACTGTGTTAATTTAACGTGTATCATTTTTCACCCTTCAATGAATTGTTTTTTTTTTTAAAAATGTGTTGAACTTTCTTAGAGCAACAACTGGTAACTCTTTGGCGAGCTTTCTACAATTTCTCTATCTTTAATTTTGCAGCATATGCGAAAAACATTATTTAGACCATTGGTCTTACGGTTTGTACTAATACTTGCTTGTTAATTTTATATAATTAATGCATTTGTATTTCACTGAAATAGTTACATTTAATGAGCATAAATATATATAAATATAATTAAATTGTTTCTATATGTATGATAATATGTATATAGGCAATACTCCATATATATATATATATTATTAATATTTCTACTTTGATTTTGTTTGATTTTAATTGCTCGAATAATAAGCCTTTGACACCTTAATGTTTTTCGCGACGCTCGGGAAGAAACGAGCATGGAGTACAAAAAAGGATTTATTTCAGAAAAATGTTTTCGGAAATACTAATATTCTTTTATAAAAATTTTTTTCGCATTAACCAAAAGCTACAATGGTCTGTTCGGCGAAAGGTATGGTATTTGCCTATTTTCGTAGAACAGTTTTTTTTTCCCTTGAAAAGGCCAACTGAGAGTACGAGTGGGCTAATTTACCATTTTTTCCGCTATTTAATTATGTTTTTGTAGCTTGTTTTGATGATTTTTTTGTGTCTTTATTCTATTTTTTTTTTAAATTTTGATGTTAATTTTTTGTATAGGCGCTTTATATTTGGAATTTTTAATTTTAATTTTTTTATGTATAGGCATTTTATAGATTGACATTTATAACCAGTTTTTTGTAACTTCCTTTAATATATATATATTTTCCGTCAATCTATTTTTCATGTGAGTTAACTTTTCACATTTCACAACGGTCAGATTCATTAATTTTTTTTCGTGCATTAGCAAGTCTTCCAGCACTAAAATTGGCAGTTTTATCGTGCTTATACAGTTTTTCCAGTTTTTACAGACAAATTTCTTATTGTTTATGTAGTACTATGTTACAACCTTCGTGGAGCTACAGTTTCCGGTACTTTTAGCAAGGTTGTGCATGTTCCACCTACTACTATTCTTTCAAATCTTTTTGCGCATTATGCGCAAAGTTTTTGAGACCAATAGGTCTTACGTCTAATTCCAGTTAGCTTTACATTTTCTTTTCAATTTTATATATATGTTACCATGAAAGACGAAATTGGAATGTCGACTTTCATCGAAGAATGTAAACACACCAAATACGTCGTGAAAGATCGAATATTTCTTTACATTCTTGTACATTCGGACCCCACTGGTGTAATGTCGAAATCACGATATGCTTGCGTAGTCGAAAAGAGAGAGTATATGACATGCTGCCATTCCAAAAAAGTGTTCCACAAAATGCAGTTGTAAAAGCAAGGACCTCTTGTGCAATTCAAAGTGTCATAATAATTAAGTTGTTGCAATACATAAGTTGAATCACATAATTTGGTAATTTATAACTTCTATTATTTTCCTTTCTCATTTGAATGTACTGTGTGTTTTAATTCTTATATTCTAAAATTATTTCTGAGTCTCAAGTGCATTTTTCGCAAATGAATTAAGGAGAAGGAAATAATATTATAGTCGACATTCACCATAGTACATGGTGAATGTTGACATTCTCCGGTGTAAGTCAGAAATAAGAGTATTTGAAAATATTTCGGACATACACCAAGCGACTATGTGAATGTTGACATTCACAGGTGAAAGTCGACATTCTCCAGATTTCGGTCTTTCATGGTAACATATATATATATTGTGCATGTTTGTATAATGTTATACTTTCAAACATCATTTAGTATTATTTATTTATTCCCCCCCCCAATAGGTAAATAAATAATCTTGCACAGTATACAGGGAGTGCACTTTTACCGCTTTGCCTCAGGTGAAAATGTATGTAGGCACGGCTCTGCTTAGGTACTGCATATAATAACTTGGAATTCTGTAGAATGACAAATGCTCTTTACGCAAAGTATGAAAAAAAGGGGCCAAGAATAAGGTTATTACTTAAAAGATTTTCTCTCCTCAAAAATACAAATGTTATCTTGAAAAATAAAAAAGTGCCATTAAAATATTTCTATTCAAAATACATAATGAAAAATAAAAGTTACATGAAAAAAATTATGCCTTTCTAATTAAAGAAAATTTTCATATAAAAAATAAAATTAACATATCTGTTGAAACGTGGAAGGCTTGAATGATATTTTGAATTTACTTCATTACTTTTCCAACCACAGACATTTCATATTTCGGCACTTTGTTTTACACATACACTTGACAAAAAACTCTTGGCCACTTCCAATGGACTGAACAAATGCAACTAACCGAAGAGGAATTTCATGGTCAGGAATACCTTCAATTCTAAGCAAATTCTTAGAACATAAAATTAACTGTGATCTCGTATATAGTTATTTTAAAATTCTTTCAGAAGTTCCAAATCAATAGAAACTATCCTCTGTGACATTCATTAAACTGCCAATATATTGCATGAATTATGATATACTTTCCCTAGACATTGTATATAATATAGAGATGTAATCTGCATTTTGCCAGTTTGTCATTTGAGATTCCATAGAATGCCTAGGCAATGTGTAAAATGTTTAATCATTTCCTACATTGTCAGCCAGTTTTTCGCACTCTATAATATGCCTTGGTATTCTATAGATTGGTAGATTTCATACTTTACCTGTAACATGTGTATTTGTATCTTTTATTAGTCAAAGATTTTGAGCATCAGTAATGCTACTATGACATTTGCCCACATTAATTCAAATTTAGGTTGAAAGTGGAATTTGACAAATTCCTGTTACTATAACTCAAGAATCTCAGAATTCAATATTTTTTTTAAATGCTCCACTATGCAAAGCGATTACAGTCAAAAACTTTGACATAATACTTTGACATTAATATTTTATCCAGATTTGAATTCAGGTCCACTGAAATACAGATGCAAAAAGGACTTATACAGAATAAAGCTATCATGAAAGATGATATTACAGTACAAAGTCTGTAATCCAGACATCCATTAGCCGGAATGATCTATAATCTGGACCTCAAAGCCACAAACTTTTTTCCATATGAGTTTACGCATGCACATAAGACTATTCAAGACTTTAAAAAATTTTTTAGCATAAAATCTGCTGTGTGGAGCATCGCAAGATCATTGGAGGATGTGTCTTCCAGATATGTTAAAAAATGCTTGGCATAATTTATCACCAGCTACCATATTTCATGGTGAGGACGATGAAGCTGATAGCCACGAATTTGAAGGTTTTCGGACATTTCTGATATCGCAAACTAACAAATGATAACAAATGAAGATGATATAACAGAAGTTTTTCATTGTGATGACAATGCCTCAATCATCAATCAATTAACAAACGGCGAAATCTGTAGTGTGGTTCTAGATCCAGAAAATACTGCTACTGACAGTGAAGAAAATGACAGAGAGGTTATTGAAAACGAAAAAAAATTTTGATTGAAATTAGTCGGTATTTCGATAGCAATTACAGGATTGAAAATGGAACTTTGTTCTGAACAAGAAATGTAGGTTTAGCATTAAAGAGAATGATTGCACAAAAAGAAGCAACTTGCATTGAAAAGGAATGTTAATAAAGTAAACAATAAATAGAAACTTTTTTTGTAAATTTTGATACCCTTTAGATCATAATTGTTCTTTATTTCATAAATCACGGTTTCATATTTTTAATTGTATAATTTCTGCATGCCATTTTACCAGATTTAAATTGACGATCTATAATCCGGAAAAACTCCTAATCCGAAATTGTCGAAGTCCCGACGAGTCCGGATTACAGACTTTGTACTGTATACTGCAGCAGAAAAAAAAATGAAATATGAATTTAAGAACAAAAAATTAAATGAAAGAAGTCAATCATCTTACATGTATGGTATAATTATTTGTTAACAAACTTATATCAGACATTAAAAATTTATAGTTACTGGAAATTCATCCTGACCATCAAGATACAAATATTGAATAAATGCTAATGATTTTCTTGAGAATACTAATATTTTTATACATTATTATAGAGAGCTATTTTGCTACTTATATAAATTTCTGTGCAACTATTTGTCTTTCATCTAATAACTTTTTAAGTTATATTAGAATGATTTTTAGAAAATAACTACTTCTATAGTTTTTTTTAAGCTATATTAGTATGATTTTTAGAAAATAACTACTTCTATACTGTAGTTCTGATCTGTAGTCTCAAATGACAACTTATAAAATTAAGGAGGAAGAAATCTTATTTTGGAGAATTTTAGTGTTAATTACATATAAAATTGATCTGAAAAATAGTAATACTCACTTTAGCAGCACAAGGTGTACAAGCTTTTCCATCTAAATCATATACTTCTCCTTTATACACCATTCCAAATGAACCTTGTCCTAACTCTTGCAGAAGTTTAACTTTTTCACGAGGGATTTCCCATTCATCTGGTACATATACTACAGTAACAGAAATATTGTATAATATTTTGGGGTAAAAACAGAGCAAGATTAATACTTTTAAAGGATTAACCTTCCAGCACGCGGGATTGTGCAAAATTTATGACAAATTAAGTTTTTAATGAACATTTTTTGCATATCGAAGCCGAGACACCTGAAGGTCATTTCCTCCACACGAGGAGGTCTGCTAATTTTAATTAAGTGCTCCATTTCTCATTATATCACGCCACATCCACAGCTTTTAGCTATCGAAGCTCTAGCTATTACACTCACACCAAACACATCATGACCAATCACAATTATCTCCACCTATTTTCCTATACACACACATTAGTAAATTCTGTGAAAACAGATTTAAAACATTTTTAAACATTAACATTCGAGTTATCATAGGTGAAGACTTTAATGCACACCACTGCGCATGGAATTGATGGGATATTAATAAACACAGACGCATAATTCATAGCATTGCCCAAGTGGCCAATATTAACCTAAATTAAAACCAACACACACTGGGGATACCGGTTAAACCAACACACACTGTGGGATAGGTAGATCATCTATTATGGACTTTTTCATCCTGAAAAACATTAATTCCCCAAGTTATGTAGAAAGTCTATCGGAACTATCCTCCGACCGCAATCCTGTAATGATGGAAATTACTACCAATTCCTACAATACACCACACAAAAGAGCTCTTATTACTAACTGGGCAGGATATGCCAAAGCTCTAAATAACACTCAATACCCTGCCAATACGAAACATTCGAGGAATGAGTTAGAAGCTTTCACAGAAGAACTCACTGATTAATTCCACAATGCATTATTGAACAATAATAAATCTGTAAGAGAAGACAAGATATACAAGAACAGTGCCATCCATGAGTTGATGATCAGAAACAGAAGCCCAGTTCACTAGCAATGGCAGTGCTTCAGATGTCCCACGGATAAAATCTTATTAAATCAACTAAATCAGCAAGTCACGACTCTAATAAAAAAAAACATGCACAACTCGACTGGGCCATGTGGAGCAATTCATAACGGAGGCGATGAGGCTGTACAACTCGGACGTTAGTTTCCCCCCCTCACCCCCGCTAACTGTGATTGGACTTGATCCAAAAAAAAAAAAAAAAAAAAGGAGAAACATTCTCTCCTTGTATGACTCACTTCTCGCGTTATGCAATGGACAGTAAACAACGCTTGTAATCATCGCTATATTTTTTTTCTTCATATACCTAATAAATATGTTATTTTGTGTTTGCTAATATAATGATCGTGTTCCTTACCTCCGCAGCTTGGATTACACTTTATTAAGGTAAGAACTTTAATTCTGTTTTATTCATCTGCTCGTCTCGATTTAGCGAAGTTGTAACAGTAAACAAAAATGAACCACGAATACCTTCAACAAAGATTATGAGACCGAAAATATGTTTACTTCAACTAAACGCATAAAATATATCGAGATAAGCCATTAAGAATAAAAAACAGAAAAGATACTTTACCATAAATTATCGCTGGATAATCCGAAAAAGGAAAAGCCAAGCCTGTCTTCAAAAGCGAAACAAAACTGCATAGTTGTGTCGTACTGCGCATTCGAAATACAGAAGCAGAAATGGCTACTAGCTGCGAAAATAAATATTCGATCATGAAACTAAACAATAACAACTATCAAGTATGGAAATACAAACTTGAAATGATCCTGAAAAAGGAAAATTTATGGGATTTAATAGCAGATGATACACCAAAAGAAATAAACGTCGAATGGAGAAAACGAGATGAACAAGCACAAGCTACCATTAGTTTACTCGTAGAAGACAACCAAATCGTACACATAAGAAATAAAACGACAGCCAAAGAAATATGGAATGAATTAAAGAAAATACATGAAAGAAAGAATCTTTCCAGTAAACTTTACCTTCTGAGAAAGCTGTATACGTTAAAAGCAGAAAACGAATACAAACTCGAAGAACACGTCAACAAAATGCTCGAAATCGTAGACGAACTGCGAGGAATCGGTGAAGAAATAAAGGACAGTCACATTGCAGCGCTCTTACTAAGCGGCTTACCAAAAAGCTACGAAAATCTCATTACAGCTTTAGAAGCACGCCCAGAAGAAGAACTAACGCTGGAATACGTAAAAACGAAACTCATCGACGAATGCCTGAGAAGAAAAGAAGTCACGCGAGCAGAAGAAACGACTGCCTTCAAAACGAATTTTAACACAAAATTCAAGCATTTAAATCAACGAAGATGCAATTATTGCAAAAAAATAGGACACTTAGAAAAAGAGTGCAGATTCTTAAATAACCACAAAGAAAAAGATAAAAACGAAAGTAACTCATTTTTCAAGAATGAAAAGCAAACGAATAAAGGAAATTATGGAAATAAACAGAAAACGAAAGTTGCTGTAAACGAGGATACACATGAAGATGAAAACGAAAATAAGAATCATGAGAAGACTGAGAATTACACGTTCGAAGTCACCAGAGAAAGAAAATCTCAAAACTCAAACTGGTCAGTTGACTCAGGTGCTACTTGTCATATGACCGATAACATAAACTTTTTCACCAAATTGGATAGAAGCAAAACTGAGCAGATAACAATTGCTAACGGCACGCAGATGAAGTCCGAAGGTATAGGAGAAGGATACTTATACTGTACAGACGACGAAGATAACGAAATAGAAGTGAGACTCGTAGATGTTCTGTACGTTCCTGACCTAGAAGGAGGATTGATATCCGTAAGAAAAATTACAAAAGAAAGGATTCACAGTTGAATTTGAAGAAGATATTTGCAGAATAAAGAAGAAAAATAAAACCATAGGAATTGCTAAAGCAGAAGGAAATTTATATACCATAATTGAATCGCAAAGAAGAAAAGCCAAAATTGCAGCTGCAGAAAGAAGTAAAAACAGCATAGATCTTTGGCATAGAAGACTAGGACACAGAAATTATGAAGCAATCAAGAGGCTAAAGAATGATGACCTGACAACCGGAATAAGAATTGACGGAGAAGCCAAAAAGGAAAAAGAATGCGAATGCTGTATCAGAGGCAAAATGACTGAATTGCCGTATCCCAAGCTAAACAACTATAGAGCAAAATCAGTTCTAGACTTGATACATTCAGATATTTGTGGACCAATCGGTACAACATCACTAGGAGGAAAGAAATACTTCATAACATTCATCGACGATCATTCGAGATACACAACGATCTATCTGCTAGCTACAAAAGATGAAGCTATCTCCAAATTAAAAAAACAATTTGTAACCATGACGAAGAACAAATTTGGAAAGAAGCCAAAAGTCTTAAGAACAGACAATGGAGGAGAATATACAAGCAAAGAGATTGAAGACTATCTAAAGGAAGAGGGACTCGAACATCAAACCTCCGTAGCATATTCACCGCAACAGAACGGTAGAGCAGAAAGAGAAAATCGATACTTAATGGAAATGACAAGATGCCTGCTACTCGATTCAGGACTCAAAAGAGAATTTTGGGGTGAAGCCGTAATGACAGCCACCTATCTACAAAACAGGCTACCATCAAGATCAGTTGAACAAAAAAACCTTATGAACTATGGAATAATAAGAAGCCGAATCCAAACCATATCAGAGTTTTCGGCAGCACAGCTTATTGTCGAGTTCCAAAGCAGAAAAGAAGCAAGCTAGACGAAAGAGCAGAAAAAGGAATTCTTGTTGGATATAGTGACTGCACTAAAGGATATAGAATTTACATGCCACGTGCAAACAACGTCGTGATCAGAAGAAGCGTAATATTCGATGAAAACAAAAAAGAAGAAATGCCTCGTCAATTAAATGATCAGCATGAGGAAATAGAATGGCCTTTTAAAGAAAATAAATTGACAGAACCACGTCCAAATGATATTACAGAGGAAGTAATTGAAACAGAAGAAATTCCCCCATTACCGAGAAGATCCCACAGAACGACTAAAGGAATCCCACCAAACAGATTCTCATACATGGCTAAGAATGAAGAAATCAAAGTTCCTAAAGACTGGGAAGAACTTCAAACTTTTCCTACCAAAGAAAAGGAACTGTGGTTAAAAGCTACGAAAGAAGAAATGGAAGCACTGAAGAGGAACAAAACATGGGAACTAGTCGATCTTCCAAAAGGAAAGAAAGCAATTGGAAACAAATGGACATTTAAAACAAAATCCGACGCTTCAGGAAATATTATCAGATATAAAGCTCGTTTAGTAGCTAAAGGATATTGCCAAAAATTTGGGCACGACTACGACGAAACATTCGCACCAGTCGTAAAGTATACAACAATAAGGACTATTTTGGCAATAGCAGCTCAAAAGAAAATGCACGTAAATCACTTCGATGTAAAAACAGCGTTTCTATATGGAGATCTGAAAGAAGATATATATATATGAAGCAACCAGAAGGCTACATCTCTGCTTCAGAAGCAAATAAAGTCTGTAAACTGAATAAAAGTATCTACGGACTAAAACAGGCAGCCAGAAACTGGAATCACAAGATAGCTGAAATCCTGCGCAAACAAGGATACGTTCAAGGAAAGGCTGATCCATGTTCCTTCACACTAATCGAGAAAAACGCAAGAACTTACATAATCGTTTACGTTGATGACATATTAGTCGCGAGCGACAAGTGTGAATCAATTCAAGAAGTTGAACGAATTCTCAAAGAATATTTCGACATTCGAAATCTTGGAGAAGTGTCTACATATCTAGGAATTGAAATCGAAAGAGAAAAAGACGGAAGTTTTAAAATTCATCAAGCTAACAAGATTAATAGTATGATCGAAAAATTCGACGGAGAGTCACCAAAGAAACTAAGCTATACACCCATGACTACGAATTTTACGAAGAACCAAAACAACCAGGATGACGTTTTTCCCGATAATCGGAAGTATAGGGAAGCAGTGGGAGCACTTTTATATTTAGCAACAGTATCAAGACCTGACATAGCAAATTCTGTTGGAATACTTAGCAGAAAAGTAGAAAATCCATC